CATCGGAGCGGGGACACTCACAGCGGAGCAGACGGGGCGGAAGGACATCAGGCGCTCGATGTGGTAGGCGTTGCTGCCGCTCCAGGCGTCCCAGCGCGGGTACTCTCCCCTCTCCAGGATGAACTGCTGCCCGCAGAAGCCGGTGTGCTCGTAACCGACCCAGCTGCAAAAACAGAGCCAGGGCTGCCAGGGCTTCCTGCAGCAGCTCTGGGCCTCCTGCTCGGGGCTGGCACCGGGGCGCGGATCTAGGTGTGAGGAGGAGGTTGGGGTCTGGCCTCTGCCCGTGACTTGGGAGGAAAGGAAGCGGTGCTGGATGTGGGCAGAGCACTGGGGAGTGTGTAACTGCAGCTGGTGCCTGGGAGGCAGCCTGCACGGCAGCACCCACATCCCCCGGCTGCAGCAGGCGCTGGGGTCCCTCCCTCAAGGGCCCAGCCTGCAAGGGCAGCTCAATTTCCCCTAACTGCTCTGTGGTTATTTACGCAGATCAGCACCACGCTGGGATGCCATGGGACAGCCCCGGCTGCCTTTGCCTCCCAAAGGCCTCATTTATAACCCATTTCCCAATTACAACCTGGAAAGACCTGAATTCCTGATGCCCAAAGCAGGTAGAACCCATCTGGCTGTGGGCTGGGCAGGGAGCTGCTGCCTTTCCCCTTTTCTGGGTCTCCCTCTCTGCTGAAAACAAGCAAGGAGAGTTGAGAGGGATGTCTCCACCCTGCAGGACATATTTTGTAAGCCCTGGTGCTGCTCACACGAGCGCCTGGCTGTCCCCAGGGTGGGGACCTCACCTGGGCATGTCCCCTTACAGAGACTGGGGACGTGGGACAGCTGCAGTGGAGCAGGGAGGCAGAGGCTGGGGGCTGGAAGGTGGGTGGGACAGGCTGTGCAGCCCACAGACCCCTGTGTATGTGGTATGTGGGGTGCTGAGGGGTACACTGAGCTGGGGGGGCTCAAGGGCCTCTTGCCACTGACCCAATCTGAGCCCACATCCCATGTCCCGCAGTTGGCCTCCCCCCATGCAAGGTGACCAGCCTGATTAGGAGCACGTCAAGTGGAGCAGCGAGCTGATTACAGCACGAGCACCATGCTGCTGTAATCCCATTAGTGTTACAAATCCTAAATATAGCAGCACAAATCTACCTTGTCTGCTTCCCCGGCCCCAGCGGGATGCTCGCCCAGGGGACTGCTCCTTACACACAGCGTCTCGGGGCAGCGTGGGAGATGGCGTGCCTGTGCCAGGGAGAAGCCTGGCTCTGCTCCCTACCCCTGTCAGCGACTGGGGCAGCCCAGCGCAGGCTGGGGGAGGGCTCTGCCCTGGCTCCCGGGAGCTGCATGGTGTGGGGAAAGCACGGGGGAGAGCAGGGCTGGGCCCTGGGGCAGGAGAGGTGGTTCTTTAGGAAGGGTACTTCATGGGGTTACACAGGCAAGATGGGGACCAGGCTGGGCTCCAGAGCCGCTCTGATCTTCGCTGCATCCTTGGGCAGCATCCCTGTGGAGCACTGGTGAGCTCCAAACTCCCAGACTTGCAGGAGGCAATTTTGGGTGATGCCAAAGGTGCTGCCACCATTCTCTGGCCCTGTGTCTCAGTGTTGCCCAGGGCT